CTCCTGTACTCTGTGGCATCTGCAGGAGACAAAAGCTCACCATCAACAGTTGTTATCTTGTCGGTAGACGACATGGGTGTGGTGGTCGGTTTGCACTTCAGCATGCCAGCTCTCTGTAACAACTCCAAGGAGTACTTATTCTGCGTAAGGACAAGACCAGTAGCACGAGAAGTGACCTCAACTCCAAGAAAGTAGTGAAGCTTCCCAAGATCTTTGACCGCAAAATCAGCACCAAGAGAGCAGACAAGAGCATCAGCAGCATACTGAGAAGAGCTGACAAGGATAATATCATCGACATATACCAAAAGATACATAGTGACTTCTGGCTTCTGTAGAAGAAATAACGAAATGTCAGCAGTAGACGGCACAAACCCATGAGCACGAAGGGCAGAGGCAAGGCGGGCATGCCAGGCACGAGGAGCTTGCTTCAAACCATATAGTGCTTTGGAAAGACGACAGATATAGTCAGGACGATCAGGATCAGAGAAACCAGGCGGCTGTTTCATATAAACCTCTTCCTCCAAAAATCCATGTAGAAAAGCATTCTGCACATCAAGTTGACGAAGTGACCAACCACGAGAAACAGCAATGGAGAGAAGAAGCCGAATAGTGGTAGGCTTGACGACAGGACTGAAGGTGTCCTCATAGTCAAGACCATGACGCTGCCGAAAACCGCGAGCAACAAGTCGCGCTTTGTAACGCTCAATAGATCCATCCGAATGCTTCTTCACTTTGAATACCCATTTTGAGTCAATAACATTTACCCATGGTGGTGGAGGAACGAGAGTCCATGTCTTATTACGAAGAAGAACATGAAACTCCTGCTCCATAGCCTCTCGCCAATGTGGAATGCGCAGGGCAGCCTGATATGAGCGAGGCTCAGAAGATGGATCCGCAACAGCAGCAGCCAAACAAGCAGCCAACCAAGCAACCGTACCATCCTTACGTTCCTTAGGTTTGAAAATGCCACTGCGACTGCGTGTATGTGGTCGGGACACAGGAACCACCGAGGTCGACGGAGCAGCCTGCAACGGGCTGGAGGACGGCGATGTTGACGAGTCAGCCGGTGACGAGGAGCCAGTCACGGTAGCCTCGGACTCGGTTGGCGAAGAAGGCCGACCCACCGGCGAAACCGGCAGAGCAGACGAAGCAGCTGGCGACTCCGGCATCACAGACCGGGCCGATGGCGAGCTCGGCATAGTGGGCCGTGGCGCGGCCGGTGTCGCGGGCCGATCCGCTGATGAAGGCGACGTGAGGACCCGAGCCGCGGGCGAATACGGCGTGACGGGCCGAGCCGCAGGCGAAGACGGCGTGACGGGCCGAGCCGCGGGCGACTCGGCGGCCGCTGGCGAAACGGACCGAGCAGTGGAGATGCTCGGCGCGACGGGCTCGTCGGGTGACCATGCATGGGCACGCGAATCGATGCCATGCAACATAGGGCGATCGACGTGCCCACCAGAAGACGACGATGATGATGGTGAATCCTCCAACAGCTCCAAACGAGCTCCACGTCCGGTTCCTGCACCATGGTTAGGTAACAACAAAGGAGAGTATGCAACATCATCAAATTGGTCAGAAGCAACAGAGGATGAATGCAGGGATGGTGGTTCGACAGTGGACACAGGAAGGTTGGCAAAGGGAAAAACATGCTCATCAAACACGACGTCCCGAGATATATAGACACGATTAGTGGGAACATGAAGACATTTGTAACCTTTATGAAGAGAGCTATAGCCAAGAAAAACACACTTCTTAGAACGAAACTCAAGCTTGCGCTTGTTATATGGACGAAGATGCGGCCAGCAAGCACACCCAAATACCTTGAGAAAGGTATAATCAGGTTGTTCATTAAGGAGAACCTCAATGGGAGTCTTCATGTTTAAAACACGAGTAGGAGTACGGTTGATGAGAAAGCATGCAGTGGTGAAAGCATCACTCCAAAACCGAAACGGAACAGATGCATGGGCCAAAAGAGTAAGACCAGCTTCAACAATATGACGATGCTTACGTTCGACGGAACCATTCTGCTGATGTGTATGTGGACATGCTAAACGATGAGCTATCCCAAGCGACTGAAAGAAAGAGTTGAGGTTGCGATACTCGCCCCCCCAGTCTGACTGGACATGAACAATTTTGTGCTTGAGAAGACGTTCAACATGTTTTTGAAACTGAACAAAAATATCAAACACATCAGATTTGCGTTTAATAAGGTAAAGCCAGGTAAAGCGACTATAAGCATCAACGAAACTGATATAGTAATTATGACCACTGACAGAAGTCTGAGCAGGACCCCATACATCTGAAAACACAAGTTCTAAAGGATGTTTCACCTCACGACTGGACTCCGAAAAAGGAAGTTGATGACTCTTCCCCTGCTGACAAGCATCACACACTGCTACATCTTTATGACTAGACAAACTAGGAAGCTCATGACGACGCAAAATATGACGGACAATAGGTGTGGCCGGGTGACCAAGACGAGCATGCCACTGTGATGGAGAGACCCGAACTCCACTGAAAACACAAGCGACACCAGGATGCTCCAGACGGTAGAGGCCCTGGCACAACCGCCCACTAAGAAGAATGTCCCTCGTGCCCCGATCCTTAATAAAAAGATCAAAAGGGTGAAATTCACAAAGCACATTATTATCACGTGTGAGTTTAGGAACTGAAAGAAGATTACGGGTCACAGATGGAACTCGAAGAACATTGCGAAGCTGAAGACTCCTATTGGCATGTCTAGTGAGAAGAGATGCTTGACCAATATGAGAGATGTGCATACCTGCTCCATTGGCGGTGTGGATCTTGTTGGAGCCATGATAGGGTTCACGAGTGTGAAGCTTCCCCATCTCGCTAGTTAGATGCTCTGTCGCCCCAGAGTCCATGTACCAGTGTGGATCGATGGAGTAGGACTGAGTGTGTCCCTGTTGCTTCTGCGGCGCGGGACGATCAGCCATGGCGACCTGACGGGCATTGTTGCGTGTATCTTTGCCGTCATTGCCAAGACCAAGGAAGCTTCGCTGGAAGCGCTTATGACACTTGGAGGCCCAGTGCCCATCGCGGCCACAAAGCTGACACACACGTGGACCGCCAGCCCCCGGTAAGGTCGCAGTAGGTGGGGGGGCCGAGGCGGGCGACGGTGGCAGCCCCAAGGGAGACCGGGGTGATGAAGAAGAGCGGCCACCCTTGGTGGCGGCGTTGGCCGAGAGGGAGCCAGTGCCCCTGGTGCGGCGAGTCTCGACCCGTTGCTCAGTGAGAAGGAGCCGAGAGAAAACCTCGTGTGCCAGCATGGGTGTCGAGTTGCCCCGCTCGTTGATGATCTCGACTAAGGCATCATACTCCTCATCAAGACCATTGACAATAAACGAGTTGAACTCGGAATCGGTGAGGGGCTGTCCAATGGAGGCCAATGTGTCGGCGAGGCCCTTGACCTTGTTGTAGAACTCAGTGGCAGTGGAGTCAAGCTTCTGACACTCTCCAAGCTGACGACGGAGTGCAGAGACACGAGCCTGGGACTGCGCTGCAAAGGTGCGCTCAAGGATGGTCCAGGCCTCATGAGACGTCTTCGCGAAGACAACAAGGCCGGCAACTGCCGGCGAGAGCGACCCCTGGATGGAGGAGAGGTTCGCCTGGTCCTGCCCCGTCCAGACGCGATGGGCCGGATTGTAGACCGAACCGTGCACGCTGTCTACCAGCGCGGGTGGGCAGGGAAGCGATCCGTCGACGTAGCCTAGCAGGTAGTGACTCCCCAAGAGCGGGAGAACCTGCGCACGCCAGAAGATGTAGTTGTCGGCGAAGAGCTTGATGGTGATGAGATGACCGAAGTGAAACGGCGGCGGCGAAGACAATCCCATCGAGGAGGCTGCCTGGGGTGCAAACACCATGGAGGCAGCCGGAGGCACCGAAGCCGATGCGGGAGGAGGCGGGACCGCAGCCAGGGCGGGCGCCGCAAAGCTTGCGGCCGGTGCGGACGCCGCAAGGCCCGCGGCCGGGGCGGACGCCGCCAACCCCGCCAGCGGGGCAGTGTGATCCGCTTGCGGCAGGAGCGGCGGGACGACGCCTGCGGAGTCCGCAGCGGACGGCGGCGCCGCGGTGTGGACCACGAGGTCACGCCCAAGCGAGGGCGCCGGCGGCGTGGAGAAGACGGAGCCGATGCTCCTTGTCCCGATCGGAGCCGGAACAGAGACGGCATCGAGCGGGAGGTTGAGCAGAGCCGCAAGAGAGGCCGGGAGGAAGCCCGCAGCAGTGGAACCGGTGGTGGCGGCGCTCGACATGGCGGCGGCGCGATCGGTGGCGCGGCGGCGGCGGTGAAGGCGGCGGCGGCTGCGGCGGCGGTGCGGGTATTAGGGTTTAGAAGCGGAAGCGATCGTAACCTAGCGTGATACCATGTAAGACAATAAGTTTTGGGGAACCAGCACAACCCTCTAGGGATGGCTTATCTCATTATATATAATGGTTGTGTTACAATATGTACCATATACGTACATAGGTACAGAAGCTATACATAGTCTAACAGCTTGTGCCAAGGTGCTTAATGGTGTTGGGTCCAATTATTTTGGGCGTGCCCGTCATGGTCTGCCTTTGTGGGCTTGCCAAACATGCGCCCAACCAAAGCATGTTGCTTAGCAACTAAAAGTGCTGACAATGACTAATGCAAAATTCCAAAGATGATAACAATATATACTGCATCAGTTTTGCCACTGTAACTTCTACGTAGAAGACGGATCTATTCTAATAAAGTAATAGTTCCAGTGTACCAAAACTCTTGTTACCTTGTTAACCCAGAATCAAGTCATCAACGATACAAGCCTGTTGGAACTTCCAAAGAGTAGTCTTCCGTAGTCTGATCAGGTTGACTGCAATATTTGTCTATTTCTGCCCACTGGATATGAAGGTGCCAAAGGAATAAACCGAAAATTCCAACAGCATTCCTTGGATACGTCAATATGCCAATACTTTGCCTTTAACGTGGATATTTCCAAATTCATTCGAACAGACACAGTAAAAACTTCTTAGCTTGTTGCTGTCGACTCAATTATGTCTTAGACACACAATCCTATGTATGTCTTAGACACGCTGTCCTATAAATGTAGCAGTGCCAACAACCAGAGGAGTTGATCCAGCCAAGACACCCAAGTAAGCACTAGTTCCTAAGTCCTGTATGAACACACCAATCCTTCCTCAAGAAGGCAGAAACGATGGACAGGCCATGCGCACACAAGCAGGTCACTGCGGATGACCTGACGCAACTTGGCCCGGCCTTGTATGAGTGCATGGAGCATGTGATCGAAGGATCTGTTGAGAAGACTGACCGCAGCTTTATGAAGATCAGCAAGCTTGCCTCCGTAGTGGACGGGCCACTGCAGCGTCTGTCCAGGATAATCGCCCACAGCTTAGCCCGCCGCCTTATATGCCCCGTCCAGGGCTTTGCTGCTGCCCTCATCGATCCATCGCACTACCTCGAGCAGTCCTGCCTCCGGGCTGCCCGCGAGAACTTCGCCGACATCAGCCCCTACCTCAGCACTGGCTTTGTCACTATTAACCGGGCTATGCTGGAGCAAGTCCAGGATCGAAAGGTCACACTCTACTTTAAATTTTCCTTAAAGATACAAAATATATTTTATGTTATATGTGACTGTCTAGATATAGTTACAGCTATTTTTCCTGACTTAATTTGCATTTGTTGTTCTTCCTGAATGTGAAATGGCATGCCTGATCTAGCTAAGTTGGTGCTACAATAACATGGGATGCATTGGTCCTTTTCTTATCGGTTTTAATGTATGTCTTATGTATTACTGGTTTAGCATGTCAAATTTAGTCTGTACATTGGTAATGCAATTTTTTCCGTCTTGTAGAATGTTTTGTTGAGCTATTTGTTGAAGTGTTGTTACTATGCGGAAGTGCTGATTAGATCCCAGGATTATCAACAGTTAATGTTTTTTGTGGGCGAGGATTATCAATAGTAACATCATGTATTGAACTGCTTAAACGTCATATATTTCGTAACGGAGGGAGTAGATAGCGTATAACGTTACCGCAATATAGATATCCTTAAATAATGTCTCAAATTATGATGCATATTTGAAAAAAAAGAATACTTCATAGAGAGTAAGAGCAATCTGCATCCAAGCTTGACTGCTTGAGTTTCTTACTCTCTTATATGCAATATTGGTTCTGCCAGCAAGGTCAATTACTACTTCCTCCGTCCCAAAATAAGTGTCTCAATTTAGTACAACTTTACATTAAAGTTAGTACAAAGTTGAGACATTTATTTTGAGACGGAGGGAGTATATCCAAGGGGAATTTGAGTTCCCTCCCAGGTTTCCTGCGCTATTGTCTAGATTCTTGTAATATATATTTATGACCACTTTGTATGCATCGCAAGCTTGGGAACTTCTGAATTCTGATGATGGTGGCACTGCAGGTTGTCCGCATCGTTGACTTGTCCTGCTCAACCACCCACCAGTGGCAGTGGATCAAGATTCTTCAGGATTTCCATAGCCGCCCTGGGGGCCCGCCCGAACTACGCCTAACTGTTGTCCATGAAGACAGTGAGTTCCTGGACAACATGCAGGCGTGCCTGTGCAAGCAAGCTGCTAACCTCAAGCTATGTTTTTATTTCGACAAGGTGATTGGCAAACTCGAGACATTGGACTTCAGCAATCTCCGCGAGATCCTTAAGATAAACTTCGGTGAGGCGGTTGTGATCAGCTGTGCTCTACAGATGCATCGCCTCCTCGCGGTTGATGACAGCATAAGCCGTGACTTCACTGCTCAGCTCCAGCAAATGGCAAACATGGCTCGGCTTAAGCAAATGGCCTGCTCAGCGTGCAGTCCAGCATCGACACTGAACTATCCGCAGACACCATCCCCTCAACGCCAGATACCAAGCCTGCTGGTGAGCTTCCTCTACGCCATCCGTGCCCTTGACCCGAAGATCATTGTGATGATGGAGCAAGACGCGGACCACAACTCCCCGCTGTTCCACGATCGGTTCACCAAGACAGTCGACTACTACGCCGCCCTCTTCGACAGCCTCAATGCGGTGGATGCAGCCAGCCCGCAGAGGGCTCGCGTGGAGAGGGTGCTCCTTGGGGAGGAGATCAAGAATATACTGGTGTGTGACGGGGTCCACCGGCATGAGCGGCATGAGAGGCTGAGCCAGTGGGAAATGCACATGCAGCGTTGCGAGGTTGACCATGTGCCGCTCAGCTTTGAAGCCATCAGGGAGGGCAAGGAGAGGCTGATGAGCTACGGATTGAAACAATGCAAGAGCAAAGAAGACAAGGCCGGCCTTCTGCTGTGCTGGGGTACAACTCGTCTGTACTCCATTTCAGCCTGGAGACCACACAGCTCGAATGCGGCGCCAAATAATGTGGCTGGCTAGCGCAGTACGTCTCCCAGTTCGTGGTGATTTCTGGGGCTGCGAATAAGACGCTGTTGCTTAAGATATGCTTGAATGGCAACTCAAATTGATTGGTGCGATGCCAAGCTTAGGTATGTAGAGATGAAAGTGATGTGCTATTTTCTGGAGAATGTTACCGAACTGATCTCGTCGTACTTTTCACCCTGCCTTCATCAAAGTTGGGTTTCCCGATTAGGATATGGTTTAGGGTGTATTTGTTTCTATGTTATTGATCATCTTCAGTTGACCGGCTGAAATAGAGCAGAGTTGATTTTGGAGTTGCAAAGAAGCATAGTAAGATGGCGTACATTCTTGTGATTGCCTGCTTCGATGTGCCATATGTTTTCCTTGAATTAGGAATATACCCAGTGTGATCCTCCTTGTTTTTTCCTGTATAAAAGTATGTGTGCAAATTTGTTGACCAGAAATAAGCATTGGATGTAAAAGGATGCAGTACATGATGTGGTCAAATTCTAGTGAGCACTCCAAGAACACCAACTTGGTATCACCTGCCGTTTGTAAATTCGGACAAATCCAAATTGTCGACTCTCCTTTCTGGTTTAAAAAATCAGTTTTGCTAAAGCACATCTAGATGTGCCCCGAGTATTACACATCTAAGTCCTATATCATTAATTTTATAAAAAATCCCAAGTGTATCCCTAGATTAACAGCTTGACCAATTTAACACAAGCTATATATCACAAAAAATGCGAAACTTCAAATGTTAGATTTTCTAATAATGATTTAACTTTTGTAATATACGATATTACGGTCAAATTGTCGAGCCATGGATACATATGGGCCTTCTAAACCGGAAGGAGTGAGTATCTAACAACATGAATTGTGATGTTAACTGGTGGGCCATGATTATTTCAATGTATGTAGATCTTCTTTTTTATGGAAGACCATTATGGCTTTATTGACAATACTTACACTACTAGAAAACATTGTTTGCTGATCGGTCACCATTGATGCGTGAAAACATATGTAGATAGTACCACTATTTATGGATGGCCGAGTATCCATGGGTTATGTCTCCAAAAAAAGTCTAGTTTAGGAGAGCAGTTACCATGGAGGGGCCTAATGCAAGGCACGTCAGTGGTGACATCAAATGACATGACGGGCATATATCACTATTGGTAAAAAAGCCTTCCTCACCGAAAGCCACTTCTCGCCGTATTCTGTTCAGTGAATCGCATGCGGGTCGCTCCCATGGGCTAGGTCCAATAGCACGATTTTGTGCTGCAAGTTTTTTTGCGGGGTTTTCCTTTCCTTTGTTTTTTGACTGATTTTTGTTATTTTCGTTATAGTTTCCTTTTTCTCCTTTAATAAAAGCTCTTTTGATTTATTTTTTCATGTTTATAAGTATGTTTGATATTACGGAAATTAAAATAAATTTCATGAATTTAAAAATTCCTGTGAATTATTAAAAATGTATATGAATTTTGAAAAATATTCATGAATTTAAGAATTTTTGCGATATATATGAAAAGTTTCATGATTTATCAAAAACACGAATTAAAACATTGTGAATTTAAAAATATTCAAGTTCTTTCATAATTTTGAAGATCTTGAAAATGTTCTAGAACTTAATAAAAGTTCACAAATTTTAGGAAATGTTCTTAAATTTTAAAAATCTTCATGGTATAAAAAGAATCATGAATTTTTAAAATTCTTATAAATGGAAAAGAAATGAAGGAAGCCAAAAGAAAACAACAATCCAATCGAAAACCAAAGGAAAAAAAGCCAAAATAAACCAGAAAATTGTTGTTGGTGGTGGTGTTGGTGGTGGTGATGGTGCCGTTGTTGTTGAGACCAACAAGTTTATACCACCGGATCACATAAGTCTATAAGACAATGTTTGGATCATTAGAATTTTGAATAATTTATGTGTCTATAAGAAAAAAAATTCCTTTGCATCTTTGAGAAGGAATGAATCATTGCTTTACCAATCCTATGGAAAGTTTTCTACTCCTGCACTTTCGAAGGAAAACAAATATCCTCTCCTAGTTGTTTTGTATTGGCGAGCAGGTCCGAGACAGGACAAGAAAAACGCTGCTTGCCATGCACTTTGGGACCCCACATCTAGCTCAGAACTGGTTGGGTGCTTCTTTGAACAAGCATAAGTGCCAAAGGGACCAAATTCATTCAACTCTTGGGCGAGTTACAACATGTATTACTCATTAAGAACCTGGCGATGGCAATCCCTGTGAACAGAATAAGAAAAGCTAAAAACAAGCTCTTCCAAGTGATTCGTGGCATGGTAAGCAAAGTTGTCAGTATTCCCATTTATTTTCCTAAACAAGTGGTATATCGAGCACTTCAACACTCCATTTGATCAACCACGTCGAGGAAATCCGCTAGCATGTTCCTGATCTCTCGTCTTACTTTTCATATGTGATACTTCTACTAGCAGCAACAACGATTAAATTGATTGAGTCTGATAGGAAAGTGATATGATTCAGATGAACTGAGGAATCTTGGCAGCAAGTAAAAGATCAAAAGCTTCGACCGACGAGAGGAGAGAGTAACAAGAAAGGATGCATAAGCATTTGTGATGTGTATGCCAATCCCTGTGTCTTGTAGTTCCTTGCTTGAAAATCCAAAATCCCAGCTTAAAAGCCAAATCAGAGTAATTTGCTCCTACAGTAATCAGATCAGAGGAGATTGTTTGACCCTATATGGAAAGACATCATGTGTGTGTGAGTTGGGGCATGTCTTTGATAATGTACATCAATGAGAGCTTGGCATTGTAAGATGTCTTTTTCTGCTTGGTGCACTTGGTGAAGATAGCCTAGCTTCCTAACAAATAGATGGTCGTTTATGGGTTTCAAATGCACCCAAAAAAGTAAAAAAAAAATAGCATAAGGATGACCCATAGTTAAGAGGTGATGCATTATGCTTTGAATAGAGTCGTGTGATTGAAATATTTGATGTATGAAAGATGAAAAAACCAAGCAACCCTATCAAATAAATAGAGGAAAAAAGAAGTGCAATTCATTCTCCATTTGGCTGCACCTATAACATTCCTTGTTTATATGAATTGAGAATTTACCCGTTCTCATGCCTATGGGAAGAGCTTTCATTAGTAGCCTCCAAACAAATGTTTGAACTCTTGGTGGCATCTTTTGTTCTTCAAGACATGTTTAAGCAAATTCTTAGTTGTGAAAGAAATCTGCCTTGATCGGTAGTTTTGAGTATTATGGATTCGCATATTCTTAAACTAATCAACGATTGGCCTTCTTTTACATAGAAAATTGCTATGTGGAATCAACTTGTGTAGATTTTTTGTGCTATTTTTCCTGCATTTCAAGTACAAGTCAATCATTCATGTAGAATATTTCTGTTTTTACACTTTGTCGTCGTTTTGTCCCAATTACAGTTTCCTTCCTTTTGACCCAAATGTTGCCTACCAATGCTAGTATTCTCTCTGTTCCAAGCATACCCCGATATTGGCCGGACGTGCGGTCTGGGAGCACCCCTGATCAAATGATTCGTTCGGTATTGGGGTGGCATCGAGCGAACGGTGAATCCTATTTAGCGCTGCAGGCGCCGGTCACTATTGTTTCTGCAAACCGGTGCTTGCAGCCGCGTTAACTGGGCTCAGCCGATCTCCACGTTCGAGAGGATGCGCAACAACCACCAGGCCATTAATCGACTTGTGCATTGGTACTTTCTTTCTTTCTTTTATTTGTTCGTCAGCTCGTTTTGTTCCTTTTCTTTTTTCTTTACTTCTTTTCATCTTTTTCTTAAATGCGTGATTTTTATTATGTGGACTTATTTTCAAAACCAATAAATTTTTCGAATTCGATAAACTTTTTTCAAAACAATGAACTTTTTTCATATTCGATGAACTATTTTGAAATTCTATGAACTTTTTCAAATTCGATGATTTTTTTAGTTTTTATGATTTTTTTTGAAAATGTGATGAACTTTTTTTCAATTTTTTTGATGAATTTTTTTCTAAGTCGACCAACTTTTTTCAAAATCAGTGAACTGTTTTTTCAAGTTTGATGAACTTTATTTAAATTGGTGAACTTTTTTTAAAAATCAGTGAAAGTTTTTCAAAATCGATGAAGTTTTTCAAAGTTGTTGACTTTTTTCGGTATCAATGAACTTTTTTTTTGAAAATCAATGAAAATTTTTCAGTTTTGTGAACTTTTCTTCCAAAATGAAGAACTTTTTCTAAATCACGATTTTTTCCGAAATAATTCAAAAACATTAAGTGGTACAATAGATGAATTGTTATGTGCAATAAAATAGCGCTGCGACATTGTTATTAAGGAGTGGCCGCTGTTACCTCTAACAAATGCCAAGTAGCTTGAGTGGCTGGTTGCACTTGTACGTGAACTCAATGTCGCGAGTTCGAAACCTGTAGGGAGCAGTATTTTTTTCGATATTGTTTGCTTTTCGCGTTCGCTGCTCTGCTCACTTCGTGGGCCGGCCCACTCACGTCGTCTGCAGCGCCGTGCTCCCCGACCGAACGACCTCGTTCGATACGGATTTTCCTATTTGCCGCTCACTGCGGCAAATTGCCGGATCGACGCGGATATGAACGTGCGCTCGGGATGGAGCAGTATTTTTTGCGATATTTTTTGCTTTTCGCGTTCGCTGCTCTGCTCGCTTCGTGGGCCGGCCCACTCACGTCGTCTGCAGCGCCGTGCTCCCCGACCGAACGACCTTGTTCGAGGGACCTCCTATATGCCGCGTATTGCGGCGAACTGACGAGGTTTCGCACAGGGAGGTTGCTCACCTGGGCCGGCCCATTTGCGTGACACGCATTTAAAAATCAACAAAAATACCTTTCACCTGGTGGGATTCGAACCACCGACCACCTGCTTACACACACGCCTTGCTAGCCAGTCAGACCAGGCGCCTCCTACAGAAGATTTGCAGCGCGGCTCTTAAAGAAACGTGCAACAGCGGCAAAAGACAAAGGAATATCTCACAAAAATTTCCCAAAAAAACGTGTTTAGTGGGAC